AGAACAAGAAAAAAAAAAAAAAGGAAAATGGCAATTATTCTCCTGAATGCTGATATCAATTGCAAAGGTACTCTGAGACCAGAGAGCTCTCCTGGGGGCAGGGAGAGGGAGTTTGATGTCAGGACTCTCGTGGCACAGAAAGGAGCTGATCAGAGCTGGGGCTAAAGTCGGGAGGCAAGCACCCTAGCGAGCAGACACTCAGCCAGTGGGTTCTCTCCCATGTTTTCCCATGGACTCTCATGTTCCAGGCCCTCTAGGAGGGCAAGATGGCATGCGTTCATTATTTCAACTTGTCCTGGTGCCCTACTCTGGACTAGGCACCTTCTAGATGAAGAGACGAGGCCTCAGATGGTGGGCAGACTGTATTTCCCCACTATTAATGATCAGAACAGGATGGACCATGTTCAAGAAGAAGAGACAAATGGGTCTACCGGAGAGCTGTGCAGGTCTGGACTCCAGAGCCCCAGGCCCAAAGCCAGAATGCCCAGGTGTGAGGCTCTGCTCAGCTGTTTACGCAGCTGGGTAAACTGAGGACGACGTCTTTGCTTCAGAGCCTCAGCTGTCGATCTGTGAAGTGTGGTGATGCCGCCGCTGCTTCCTTGTAAATGGTTGTGAGGATTAAGCGAGTTAATGCTCTCAGCTCATTAACTCAACACAATTGCCCAGAACCATGCCTTTGCACTCCAATGCAGATTACTATGTGTAAAGCATGTGCCATACTTGGTACAATGTGAAGCCACACACTTGAAAAAGGATGATATCAAGTACTGGCAGGAGTCCAGAGTGCCTCAGACTGCCCTTCTCTGGGGGGTAAACCTGGGGTGAGGGTGGATGAGGGTAGGGGTTAGGGTGAGGGTGCAGTCTGGGGAAGGGACCTGTTAGGGGTCACACAGTCCTGCAGTGTGAATACGGCAGCGACCTCCTGGCTCTTATACTGATCACTACAAGCTCTGGTGCTTCTAAAGGAGAGACGGTGTGACAGGGTGTAACACGAGATGATGAGGTAGTAAATCCAGGAGCAGCAGGGTAGGCGTCTTCTCTCCTGGGCTGCCTTCCTGGGTTAAGGCAGCTTTCTAGTACCTTCAGGGGAAGGGGAGACCTTGGTACCTACCATACCTTCAGTTGGGACCCTGGTACATATTGACCAACATGCACCGCGGCTCGCAGGTGGCCCCCCGCATCAGGCACTGTCGCATAGGAGGGCGCAGGCCCTAAGGTATGAGATCACCGGTGTGGCGGGCGCCTCCTTTTTGTAAAACTTAGGGTCTGGCGCCACCGTGTGGCCACGGGAGGAAGCCGCCTACACAGAAGATTGGCCGTCCAGTAAGCTGCAGGGCGACCTCGCGGGGCCTGGACCTGCTCAAGGGCTCAGGAAAGAGGTGTGGTGTCCTGTCACCCTGCAGCTCATTCCCTACAGCTCCTGTGACTGAGAGGGAGACAAGGTCTAGTGCAGCCCAAGGAAAGATGCAGCGTCCCACTTGCCCTGGGGATGACTGGATCCATGTCTCCAAGAGCTGTTGGGGTACTTGCACACTAGAGGAAGCATTTGGCACCATACTGGGGTGGGGGGCACCTTCCATGGCAGGAAGTCAGAAAGCTTGGATGTAGATTCGGGGATGCCCTCCACATTCCCAGAACGATGGAGACAGAGGAATCAGTTTAGACTCTGGCCTTAGGGTCCTGGTCTATAAAATGGGCTAGGCTAGGTCTGTATCCAGATCTAGTTTATTACAAGCCAGCAAACATCCTTCTGTTGCTAACTGATGACCAAGACTATAAGATGGAAAAGAGAGTAGTCAGCTGAGCGTGGTGATGCACAGTATTCAGGAGATGGAGGGAGGAGGGCCAGAAGTTCAAGGCCAGCCTGGGCTACATGAGACCCTGTTTCAAAATAATGACAAAACAGAGCTGGAAGAGAAGAGAGAGAACATTGGCCCTGTGGTCTGAATTCCTGAAGTCCCAGGCTCCACTCTGTTTCCCTCTTTGCTCTCACCCCAGGGCAGAGGCCTGGGGGTGCTGGTGACCAGGAGGTGTGGCATCCAAACCCAAGTACCCTGTCCCAGGGGACAGGTTCTGACTTTGCTCCTGTGCCCCTCTGCGGGGGGAAGGGAGTGGTCTTTCTTCTTGTACTTTGAAACTCTGACACAGGAGAGGAGTGAAGCAAGCATGGGCATCCCCCTGGGACGCCGATGGCAAGGCTTAGTTCTGCTACTGGTCACTACAGCCGACAAGTCACTTCGGAGAGAGGCAGAGCTGTGGTCTGAGTGTCCACTGAGAGGGCTGGGTGGTGGCCTGTCTCTGGTGTGGGTCAGTGCATGTGGGCAGAGCTGAGTTTGGGTCAGGGGATACTTCTGACTGATGCGATATACAGCACCACAGCTCTGCCAGACATGCAGCTCCTCTTCCCAAAGCATCGTTCAGGGTCGGCTTCCCCATCCCCTTCCATTTAGAAGACGGCCACTCCTCCCCGGGTCCTGCCCTGCCCACTACAACTGTCACCACCCCCTGTCCCACCTAATGGCCTCTTCTAAACTTTGACCCTTCATCCTTCTCTTCCATCTCCCGTGTTTTCTTGTCTTTCTCTTTCCCTCTCTTCTCCCTCCTTTCCTGACTGGATACATAGGCCCTGTTTTCCGGTGTCCTTCGCGTCTCCAGCCCTCCCCTGGTTCCTTGATGGTATAAATCTACAGAAGCACCTAGTACTTTTCTGTACATAGAGCAGCCATGCGCACGCAGGAAGTGCAAACTCACGATAGAACCAGAATGTGGTACCCAGCTTCACCTCAGCCTCAGTTTCCCCACTTTCGAAGCGGTGGTAAGAAGGCCTGCCCATGAGGCACCTGGCTGAGGCCTGGCACACCCGGACCTTCCCCAAGTCCCTCCCTGATGGGGTCCTCTGCAGGGCGGCCTTAACTCTCCCAAGCCATTGTGTGTACGGCTCCCTTGTTGATCCTGACATACAGAACCGCGTCTCTGCTCACTGCAGAGATGAAGAAATGGTGTTTATCCCTACTTCCCCAGTGGGGGATCCATTCGGGGACAGTCGCCTGAGTCTCCATGACATCTCTTAGGGATCTATGAGGAAGCCCTCGTCTCTGTTTTTTTGGCTCCCGGCTGGAGCTCACTGTGACTGCGTGGTTATTGGAGTTCACAGCCTTGGCCCAGTGCGGCATGTCTTCCAGGCTATTGAGCTTTCATCCTTCCGGGTTCAGTACCCAACTGCCGTTCTAGAGCGTGGCCCACCACCTTGCAACTGGAGAGAGCAGCGCTTCACAGTTTCGAACTGCGTTACGAACATGCACTTTCCAGTCTGGCCTTTAAACCTGGGTTCCCATCTGTCCAGTCTTCGGGCGATGCCCTTACACTGTCGTGGGGAAAGCTTTTCTTTTACCAACCACCTGCCTTTCACATTTTTGTCTCCAGCATGCTTACGGTCTACCGCTGAGATGTCATGAGATTCCCAGCATGCACTAGTTTCCTCCATGGGAGCCACACTAGGCAATGAGATGTTATCAGGGTGCCATCAGCAGGTCCCTACTCATACAGGGCTTCTGTGCTCCAGGGGGAAGCAAGAAAAGCAGATAAGAGAGAGATCTGAGAGAGCAGGAGAGCTGGTGAGATGTTGGAGGTGAGATGAGGCCCCCAGGAGGGCTGAGGGTTATTCTGAGCACTAGGAACCAGATGGCAGAGGGGTCTCCCTGCCTGCACTTTGGAACCTTCCAAGAGCACCCTGGCTGCCACGTGAAGACGGAGTGGGAGTGGGCAGCATGTGCCAGGGAGGAAGTGCCGGTGTCGATGCATGGAGAGGGCAGAGAGGGCTGTCTAGCAGGCTTGAGTGGGCAGTGCCTGAGGACCGCTGAGCCTGAGCAGGGATATCAACCCTGCACTCCATCTGTATGGTCCCAGCTCGGGAATGTGTGTCACTGTGTGTATGGTTCCATTCTTGGTCCTGACCTACAGAGAGCTCTGCTTCTGACCCTTGTGTTTGGACAAGAGCTCCCCCCCCCCCCCCAGACAGGTCTACCTACATCCTGGGCCCTACCCATAGCCTGACTATGGCTTGCCTCCCAGGCTGAGGGCTGGGCTTAGTAGATCCACCAAATCCTTGGAGACACAGCTCCAGAAAGTTCTGGTGGCAGTGAGGCTGACACAGGAAGAGTGTCCCCTACACATGTGCTCACTACCCACCCTGTGAAGCATCCTCACTGAAGAGAGGGCCTGGCACACTGGTCGGAGTCACTGTTTCAACATGCCACAGTTCTCAGTGCTGACCTGTGAGGCCAGGCTCTCCAACTAGACCTGCTTCCTTGGGCTTTTGCAGCTCCCCACAGAGTCTGGGTGTCCTGGCCCCTCTGAGCGGGGGTCAGTGGATTTGAGACTGCCCAGGCACAGAGGCTCCCAACAGCTCTTGGCGGCCAATGACCTTGGGCCAACTTCTGCTTGACCCTCCGTTCAGCCATCTGAGCCCATGTAGGGGAGGGAGGTGACCTTTCTAAGGCCCAACTAGTTCCTATGGGAGTATGCCTGCCTTTTCCCCATGTGGGCGTGGCCAGCCAGAGAGTGGCACTTAGGAGCATCACAAGCCAGTTCCTTCTCTCTTAGGAGAAACAAAAAGGCCAGCCCTGCTGGAATGTCCCCTCCACCACCCTGACCCTATACCCCAAGAAGCCCACTGACCTCTGACCTCATCTGAAATGTTCAGCTGATGGGCCTGGGACATCATTTAGGCAATGCTTTCTTTTTCTGTATGTATAAGTGGAGGCCAGGATGGGGAGGACCGGCCTGGGGTCCCTCACTGGGCCAGCTTCCTCCCATGGCTGGCTGTCCATGCCTCACCACTTTATCCTTTTGAATCAGAATCCCACCCAAGCCCCTGGGGACTTCTGCAGGAGGTTGGGGAATGCCAAGGCAGGTGGCTTGGGATTGAGGGAGCAGGTTGCGGTCCTTGGGCAACCCCCATCGCCACCCACACGTGTGCTCTGTCCCATGTCTCCCCACAGGTATATCCGCACCATGTACCTGGGGATTCAGAGCCAGCGGCAGAAGGAACACCAGCGACGCTTCTACTGGGCTATGATGTACGAATATGCAGATGTCAACATGCTGCGCCTCCTGGAGACCTTTCTGGAGAGCGCCCCCCAACTGGTGCTACAGCTCTGCATAATGATCCAGAAGAACAGCGCAGAGATGCTGCCCTGTGAGTGCCTGCTGGCCACTCCCCCAGCATCGCCACCATCACCCCCCACCCCCACCCCACCCCCACCCCACCCCACCCCACCTCCACCCCTGCTGCAACTGCCTCATTTGCCTACTTGGCCTAGGGGTCCTGACTAGTTCAGATGTCCAGTCCCACCCAGCCCACTTGGCAGATGACAGGGCACAAGTGTTTCCTCAATGCCCCTGCTCCGGAGGCACTCTGTTCCTAAGAGCGCGTTCTATGTGCTTCTGGACAGCGGAGCCAGCCTGCCCCTGGCAGCTCAGCATCCTGGCGATCTAATCAGGTGTGAGGCCCCCCCTTGGCTGTGCACCGCCCTGGACCCTGGTGTTTCCACATCTGCGGAATGGGGATAATCAGGCCTAAAGACAGCATGTGCCAATAACACTGAGTCACGGCAGGTCTTACTTCTGGGTTTGGACGGTTTCAACTTCAGGCTCTCGCCTCCAATGCACACAGATGCCTCCGCTCCTTTGTAACAACAGGCTGAAGTGGTGGGTGCTCCAGTGAGCACACACAAAGGGACCCCGTGCTCTCCACTGTGGCCCCAGGTAGTCTCCATGGGGCCTCAGAGCATTGTCCAGACAGGCAGGCTCTGGCAGGAAGGCCCTTGGCTGTTAGGGATGCCCAGGTTAGACCGCACTGCTCTTATTTAGAGCTGATGGCTAGCCTGGCCTACCGTGCTGCAGAGCAGTAGCAGGGAGTCAGGGATGCCCCAGAACAGGCCCCCGGTTGAGAAGTGACCTGAGGTGGCACACAGAGGGAGAAATGGGATGTTTAGCATGGGTGCACTTGGGATATGGGAGTCGTAACATTTGAAGGGATGGGGAAGAAGAAATGGTATAGATGCCAGTGTGTACTCCCGGGGAACTGTTACACCTTCAATGGGCGAGAAAAGAGAAACATTCCATCCAGTCACGGAAGGACTGTCTCTAGAGGTAGTGAGTGCCTCGTTGCTAGGTGTATTCAAGCAGAGACACTGCTGAAGGAACCAGACCCAGACGTCCTAACTGCTGAGGCTTGCCGGAGTCCCCATGGTCTGGGATGGCAGGGCAGCTGGGGGAGAGGGCCCCCCCTACTTGCCCTCGCTCTCTCTGGCCTGTGGTCTCTGGTCTCCTGGGCTGTCGTGATACCTCCAGGCCCCGCAGTCCATGAGCTGTGTCTTGTCATTTGGTTGTTTTTTACTGTAGTTCCACTCCCTGAGGTCTCAACGCTTTACACATGCGCTCCTTGGCCCGCTGGCCCTGCCTCTGGTTGGCTGTGGGATTGCTCCTCCCCTCTCCGTGCCATTAATGCCGGCAGTGTTTGGAAGTATGCTAAGGCTGTTACCATCTCCTTGCTGGTTCAGGTTCCTGCCATCTTGGCAGGCATTCTGGGTTAGGGCGGGTTTGGAAAGCAGCCTGGGCTACTGCGAAAGACAGAGAGCCATGTACAACTTGAGCTCAGCCGTGTAGACTTAGGATGTGGGACGATTCATTTCCCCGCTGGGTTTCTTTATTGGTAAGGTGGAAATAAGAATTGCTTTGAGGTGTTGTGAAAGCTTGTTGAGCTGTATACATACACCGCCACAGCACATAGCTGAACACCATAGACTGGCATGATTCTGGAAGAACTTTGTCACGTGCAAACACATTGCTGAGGCCTGAACTAACTATGGGGCTGGAGGGAGTCCCCTAGAGGCAGGGGTCAGAGAAAGCCTTTACTGGGGGCTCTCATTTCGGCTGGCTGTCAACAAGGAGAGAGACAAAGAAAATGGCCTTCTGTACTTTGGGAATAGCATGTCCAAAGGCCCTAAGGTAGGAAAAATTTCCTCTGTGGAAGACCATGGTAGTGATGAACTAACTGAAAGTAAAAACATTCAGCATGGCTAGAACTTGGTGGTGGAGCAGGAGGGGTGGTGTGGAAGGCAGGCTCCAGAGGAAGAGCCTAGTGGGCCCCACAGAAATTCACAGATATTATGTGCCAGAGGCCATGATTTCAGCAATTCTGTAGTTGACCGTTTCCATGTAGAGATGAAGACAACAGAGCCATCCTAAAAGTCCCACCAGTTAGTGAGAAGTCGGCTGTTGGACCTGTGCAGTGGGATGTAAATCCCTTGGGTCTGAGCTGTCTGTGTCCCTCCAGTCTCTCAGTCAGCTAGTGGGCAAGAGTAGAAGTCCCTGGATGGGGTAGGAACCTGAAATGGGGTTGGAACCTGAGGCAGAATGACCTATGACCCCAGAACGGGACTAGATGGCATGCCACGGACCAGTCGTGCTCAGGGAGCACCTCAGAGGCATGACTCTTCCCAGGAAAAGTCAACTCAAGGCAACCCAGAGACAGAGCTTTCGTTTAGTTTGTGTTTTGTTGAGACAGGGTCTCTCTGTGTAGCACTGGCTGACCTGCAACTCACTAGGTACATCAGCCTGACCTTTGAACTTGCGGTCATCCTCCTGTTTCTACTCTGCCTCAGTTTTGGGATAACAGGCATGTGACAGCATGCCCAGTAGACTTTACGATCTTAAGTGACATGCTATAACCCTTGGCAGGAGTAGTGGGACTCTGCATAGACGTGGAAGATGCCAGCCACAGAAGCCATTGGGTCCAGTCCCTTGTTTCATACACAGGAAGATGAAGTACAGAAAAAGAAGAAGCTGCCCAAGGTCACACAGCAATGAGCATGCACACAAAGGACTTGTATGTTTCTTGCTGCCCTAAGACAACTGTCGTGGCATGTAGGGCACCTCCAAACACCATGCCCAAGGAATTACTACCCTCACCCCCCCATTCCACAGATTGTGTCAGAGAACGTGGTTCAGCAGGTAAAGGTGCTTGATGGGCAAGCCTGGTGACCTGAGTTCAATCCTCCAGACCCACCTAAAGGGACTCCACACAATTGTCCTTGGTTCTACATAAGTGTGATGTGGCAAGCATGCACCTCCCCCCACCACACAAATAAATAAACAGAGGTAACTCCAGACAATGTATAACCGAATGAGTCAAGAAAGATAAGAGTCTAAGAAATATGAAACACACTGAAGCATCGATTTTCCTTTAAGCAAACATTTCGTCTCAGATACAGTTCGATGTCTTTCTATCTCAGCTGTCAAAGCCCCCTGCTAGTTTCTTCTTCCGGTCTTCTTCAGTTGTGGGCTCTGCTCACATCAAACCCTGGGGAGATGGCTCAGTGGGTGAGGGGCTTGCTGTGCAGGCACAAGGACCTGAACTCCATCTCTAGTACTCCTGTAAAAAGCTGGGCACGGCCATGTCCTTGTCCCTGTAACATCAGCGCCATGGGGGGGGGGGGTGAAGACAAGAGGATCACTGGACATACTGGCCTCTAGCCTGGCTCCAGGTTCACTGAGAGACCCTGTCTCAAGTGAATGAAAGGGACGGTTATGGAGTTATCCAGTGTCCTCCTCTGGTCTCTGTGTGCACACATCACACATGTATGCACACTGCCGAAACTTGAGCCTTGGCTTAACATAGAGCAAGAGCTCTGCTAGCATCTGAAGCACCCAGAAAGGCAAGTGCCCCTTCCCTTTCCTCTGTCCTGCTAAGCTGAAATGCCCAGCCTTTCTCTTCAACTGTCAGCCCAATGAGTGAGCTTTTCTTCCTCTGGTGGGGACAAAGAGTGTCACACAAGAAAACTCAGTTTCCCCTTCTCTGTCTCCCTGGCCAAACTTCTCCTCAGCAGAGGTTGAAGCTCCCTCGTGCTGGTGTACCGGTGGAGAAAGGCTGGGGCCTGGTTCTTGGCTGCTGCATCCATGGAACTGCATTTCTTTTCTCCTGGAGTTCTTTCTTCCTATGTAAGAAATGCTTTCCAGTCTCTTCCAGTCTGGTTCATACAGGCACTGGCTCAAACCCTTAATAGAAATTTATTTCTGGAGGCTTGGTGTCCAGAACATGGTGCTAAGACATGGTAGAGGTCTTCTTATGACATCATATTGCAGCACAGGATAGCGTGGGTCTCTCTTCCTTATAAATCCACTCATACTATCATGGGGGCTCCAGCTTCATGATCTCATCCAACCCCAATGACCCCCTTCTAAAGACTCCACTTTCCAATGCTATGAATATATACATTTGAAGATTAAGTTTCCAGTATGAATTTTCCAAAGACGTATTCAAACCATTCATCCATCCCCTTGGTTAACATAGAGTGAGGCTGGAAAGTGGCTGTGACTTGGCCATGGGAGCTGAAGGGCACAGGTCTATGCTATAGACCAGATCTATGAACTTCCTGCTTTGGCTCCTTGGAAACAATAAGTAAAAATTGTTCCCGAAACATCCATCTCGTTGTATCCAACAACTGAACCATCACTCGCCATGCTGAGTCATGGTTGTCTGTGCCAGTGCTGCCTGTTAGATCTCCAGTGGAGCAAAACCCTCCTCTCTGACTCATTAGCCCTGGTCTGCCATTCCCAGCAAAACAGTGGGTTCACAGACGAGCAGCACATAGGTCTTCCATGGAGAATCTTAACTCCCTGGGTGCCCATTGCATCCTGTCTTCATCACTACTAAAGAAAGAGATGTAACGTTCTGTTGGCCCCTCTGGACACCTCTTCATGCATCACTGGAATGGAGCAGCACAGCCAAGGGATTTGTGTCCCCAGGATGGCCTCTCTCCAACTCCTCTCCTGTTCTCTTGTTGAGGTCATGTCATGACGATTCTGCTTGGTATCTACACACAGGATCCGCTGGCCCTGAAACTCCAGCTCTCCACCCTTCTAGCTCCTGTCTAAATACCTCACTGTCTAAAGCCACAAGGAAGTAAATCTCTGTGCTGGTAAACAGAACATGTAGCAATTTGGCAGAGCTCTCCTGTGTCCCCTGCCTCAGGGTAGCCCTTTCAGCTCTGGTTACTCTTGACCACTGAGAAGAGGAGAGAGACTTAGAGAAAAATCAAAGAAAAGCAAGCTAAATTTATCTTGCTGATCAATGCAGATAAAATGGTCTTTGGCCATTTCGATGTGTTTTTGTGTCAGATACTGGGATGGAGT